CTAAAATCTCCATAAAACCCTCTTCTATTGTAAAACATGTTCACTTGTTCAAATGCAGTTATTATTTTTTTCCTGTTTACTTTCTTTTTTTGTTTACATTGCTATAATGAATTTTATAATCAATGTTCGAATTTCGCTAATTGAAATTATGAGTCAATTGAAGCTAGACCACCATGGAAAACCTGGAAGCATTGGACAGGCGTTTCGTCCTATTGTGGGACTCCTCAATAGTGCGCGTCCACGATCCCATGTCCCTACCCGCGAGATTCGAACCCAGGACCTATCAGCCTCACGCGCGAGCGTCTAACCTCTAGACCACTGAGTTGGCTGGCATCCAATGGTGTTCATGTCTAACTTCAACCAATCCACGAAATCGCGCTACCGTACACCATTGTCTTCAGTGAATTGATATCTCACAACAGACTTGGTTGAACTCTACTGGTTACTGCTTCTCACTAGAACACCAGGAAATCCCGCTTGAAGTCAGTAACTAATGGATGCACACTGTTGAGGAGTCCCATACTAGGATGTAAAAAAAAATTCTAAATTAATTCAAATTAAATACGATTTATTATTAATGAATAGTTGGTATTGTGTTTTCTTTTATATTTAAATAACAATTTAAATCATTATTCAATTATATTTTTAAAAAAATTTTAATAGAAACAACACCTAACTGTCATTGATTTATATTAAATTTCATTGTTACTAACCAAAAGATTACTAATCACTAATTTAAAAAAAACAAGGATTTGTATTAATTTAGAGACAGTTTCTGCCGCGTGTATTCACTCTCTTACATTGTAATATCCCGAACATGATCTGATTGTACCATACTTTAGTGCCAAATTTTCAAAATGATACACATACGATACATGTACTTTCATTGTATACTAGTTGAGCTCTACGTATTGGTGTTCCTGAATCAATCACCTGTAGTCTCATAGCTTTGGAAATGTATTTGAAACAAGCAGCAGCCTCTGATATATTTATCCTGTTATTGGGTGATAAGTGAGTATCCCTTATGTATGTGTATTGAAGTCACTTTGGGCTGTCTTACTGCAAATGTTATTTTCGATTTTAATGTACGATGTGGTCTGTTTGGAGTATTTTCCATATAATCTGAATATTCACTGTTCTAAAGGATAATATCAAACTGCTAGAAGAACCGATAACAGTCGTGTTCGTGCATTTATGTTATTCCTACTGGTAATTATGCCCAGAATAAATATCAAGTGAATACAGTAGGGGTTGTTTGATAGTTTAGTTTTGTTTGTGAATGTTGATATATTTGATACAGTGAACGCTGTAGATGCCGGCTTCCTTGACACTTCCCAGACCTACATATTCTCCATATTTGAGTCTGGGACTGAAAACAGATGAAAAAGAAGGATTGAATTTTAAAAGATTACGAATTTCCTTGAGGTACCAGAGGTTTCGAGAAACGGTGCTAGAATTGTTATTAAATGTAGTGATTGTCCAGTCAGATTCAACAAACATGATGAGATGGTTTCTAGACGTTTTTAATAATTTACTAACTAAAGTTGATTAGTGAAAGTGGTTTTCACATTTATCTTGGCTCTTGTGGAATTTTCTTAATTAAAACATTCAGTTCTTACTAAAGGTGTTTACGAATGACATCTCGATGATCAACGCATTGTTGAGGTTATTTTTAAACAGACTCGACCGTATGTCAATTGCTGTCTATTAGATTGATTAAAAGAAAAGGCATTAATCTATGTGTACTATGTGAAGTGTCCAGATATTCACTTAAACTGCTTAATCTCTTCTTTTACCTCTACAACTCTAGGATAAGCCTTGACATTTTCATCTGGTTGAGCTTATGCGGTCTGTCAACTTGAACCGATGTACATACGTATTAGGTTCTACATTGCAATTGACTGACTGAATGGCTTAAAAAATATACCGAATAATAATGATTATCAGTTTTTCGATTTTGTTAAGACATCTCTATATCATGCCATTAATTTCAATATGGAAATATTCACACTATATAGCTATGAATTCTTCTTATGGAAAACTCATTTACTGCCTATAAAATCATCTTTATCCGTTAAAGATTTAGTTAGATGGAGTTACAAGAAAATAGACATAAACAGATTATATATGAAAATGGATATGTAGTTTCACATTTTAACTTCACCGATTCACTCATGATTTAATCAAGTCTCTTTGCAATAAATGCAGTAAATTAATGTAAAAACTTATTGATATACATCTTATTTAGAATCAGCATGTTTCAATTAATATCATGAATGGATCAATGTTAGGCCACCAATGAAAACCTGCAAACACTAAACGGCCTTTCTGTCCCAGTATAAGACTTCTCAGAAGTGGGCGTCTACGATCTCGCACGCGGGATTCGATCCCAGTGAATTCAATAACTTTGAGAAGCCTGGAATGCTGTCACAGAAATGGAATATCATATGGTGAAACTAGCTGCCGTTCATGATATCAATTGTAATTCAACAATCTCCACAACCCTTTACTGATATTTTACATATATTCTACACAGTCGTTTTCAAACTATGGTGGCTTAATTATAGGAAATTTTTACACCATAATTTTATGTATTCCAAACACCATACAAAGATGATGTAATTTTCATGTTATATATGATGAAGGTCATTTATTTGTGAATTTCATTCAAAAAATTCATTTTCTCTATTCTGATTAGCTCGTCTCTAAAGTACAGTTACTATCCAACATGGCTCTTTCTTGCTTTTCTTTAATGTTAATTGTTATAACTTGTGACCTGTGTGCCCTGGTTGTTGTATAACGTAATGAGCAGTGAATTATCGATCGGACCAGTGACGCATAAAACCCCTACGAGCAGTCTAGAGTCCTTATCGGTCCTGCTTTCTACCTAGCCCAGCCAGTTAAAGTCCAGAACACCAATCTCAGCCTCTGCAATATGAAACGTGATTTCGTCTGGTTCTTTAGCTGACCGTTTTTTAGACTATAAAGATTGTATTTATCGTTTATATTCCCACCACAGTTTCTAAATGATATACTTGTTTTTCATTAGTTCCATTTTTACACATTTTTTCTCATATGCTCATGGAAGCCAACGAAATTTAAAATTTTTTTATCACTATATTAGTTTAAATAAGCATCAAAATATTCGGTGTTGTCCGTCATTCTACTTTTCATTTTTACAGCGTTAGTAGATTTGTACAGGTGACAAGTTAAAAAGGAGGCTTAGGTTGATCAGTGTATCAAAAGTCAGATTACTCTGAATATTTCTCTGTTTATCAATATTTATACGTAAGACAGCCATAAGCACAATTAGTTGTCATTTGGATAACCTTTTGTGAAACATACATCCTAAGCTGGTCAATTCCACCATGCTAGCCGCGATAATTTTACATTTTAGTTTCTTCACTATGCTCAATAACATTTGTTTTGATTGGGATAAAGCAAAATTGGATGTCTCAAGTTTCAGTTCATTGCCCATTGCATAATAAATCTACACATGGACGAATATATAGATGCTCCAGTATATATTCGTTTAGTTTTATGTCACCAAAGTGAATTGTCTCTCGACTGAACCTATAAAAGTGTAATTGAAAGTAATTTTGAATAAAATCTTACTTTCAATTTTTAAGAACGTAGCTAAAGTGAATCATGGAAAAATACGTTTCGTGGTAAAACCTGATTAGGAAATCTTTCATTTGTATTTTCCATGTTAGTCTGTTGACATCCGAGGATACTGAGCAACTGTAAGAATGTTATCATTATAATATCTGAAACTGGTTAATTTATTTTAGAGATTACAGTAAAAAAAGAAATAATATTGCTAAGAATAGTGGTGATGAATTAACTGCAACGTTTCTGCAGTCGAATATGAATAAGCTCCGAGAGTATTTGTGTGTTTTATCAATTGCCTATTGTGAAAACTATCGAAATATAAGAATTTAATGTTTATTTCCTTTGAAAAATCCACTCATTTTATAAATTCTGTTGTATTTCCTCTTTTGTTGTATATATAATACCACTTGGAGTATCTAATAAATCTATACTGTCCCTCTTTGTTAACTACGAAATTTTGATCCTTTTCTGTCATTTCTTTTGATATACATAGTTAGCCTACTTTCTCTATTATTCATAATGCATCGAAAAATCAGTTTTGGTTAATCCTGTTAGGGTGAATGAGGGAAGTAGTAATGAATAAACAGGGAATAATTCAAGAATGGTAAATCGTATAATAATAGTTCATTGGTCAAATTAAAGCTCGCAATAAGATGGACATGAATATGAACAGTTTAGTTACTTAATAATTATACAATAGAAATATACGCATTGTATTGGTGTTTCATATCATCAGGTATTCCAGTTTAATTCAGTGTGCTATTTGATTATTTTTGGTATAGCTCAAAATATATGTTTCAACTCATTTTTTTCAGGCAATCACTTTCTGCTGGAATATACTCTTTGTAGATCATCTGATTAGGCTTGTGAAATTAGTGTAGCTCCTGTTGACACCGCATTGTCCAAAATAGATAAATTGATCATAATGCTTTGATATTTTCGAATATTCTGTTTTCTGGAGATTCTTGATAGATCCCAGTGACTATTTTTATCAGTTTTTGTGAATACTCTGCGTAAGCACAAATCCTTCACATTGACGGTAGTCTATAGAAACTCATTTTTCATCCTATTTGGGACTCGTCAGCTGGATGTACCTGCATCTCAGAGTTGATGTTCACTCAGTAGCTAAGTGGATAACGTGATGTTGTTTTAAGCGAACGGCACTGGATTCGAGTCCCAGAGTGAACATCAACTCTGAGATACAGGTACATCTAGCTGACGAATCCCAAATAAGGTAAAACGCACGTCCCTGTTACATAGAATATCTCATACTCCAATGATGAACAATCTGTTTTATAATCCATTTGATAGTTTGCTTTCTATGAGGCGTGTTTTGGTTTGGAACGTTTACACTAAAATCGTTGTAATTTTTTATACATTTTGTTTAGGATATGGATTTATTGATTTTGTCTCTGAAGATGCTGCCAATGAAGCATTACAACAAATTAAAGAAACTCATCCATCATTTACAATTAAATTTGCAAAGGTATGATTAAGTGAGCTTTGTTATTGTTGTTGCTATTCTATTTAACATGGTCTTACTAGTTTTGTTTCTCTTTTTCACTAATTATTAGTACATAATTTTTCAAAATGCAAATCATTCAAGTAGCTTTATCAGAATGGGGATTTATGGATCCTACCATTTTTGAATTATGCTGATAAATATCTTTCATTTATTGGTAAATCCAGTCCTTACTCATTTATTTACTTACACTTGTTACCGCTGGTGGAGGAGCATAGGCCATCCTCAGTAGTACACTTCCTAGATCCCGCATGTGGGACGTTTTGCAGTTGCCAAAGCCTGTCATTGATGATATAAAAACTATATATATGCGGTCCTAAACTAACCACTTGAGTGGGAACTCTAAGAGTGATTAGGAAGTTTTTATTGGCTAAATCAAGTCAACGATTTGCCAAGTTAGTTCATGCCTCATGTATTTCCCGGTCAGTTGCTGCCGCCTTCTTTTTGACTAATCTTTATTAATTTTAAAACATTCTGTAGATGTCTTCTGTAAATCATTTTAATCACTAACTGAATACTATCTTACTGAGCGATGCATATCATTTATTGTTTCATCAATTTCTTGCTGCAAACTTTAATAGGTAAATGACGCTATTAAATCGCCAATGGTTACGTCATCTGATGATAATGATGAATTGATAGATATTTCAGAATTTTTCGCAACTTACTGTATAAGCAGTTGTGTTTTTAGAAACCGTCTGGGCAGAGATTTTAAATGTATTAATAGCAAGACTTATCAACATCTCCTTTTCAAAAAAAAATTAAGCGGTATTTTCAGTGGCCAACATAGAAAATCTGTTATGAATCTTCAAATCAACTTCTAAGAACGTGAGAATTGAAGATAGAACCTCAAATGATCAAAGTTAGTTTAGTTTTTAGAAAATAAAAATATTTTGACAGCGTTTGTTATTATCTAGTCTATCGCATTGTCTAGTTGAATATTTATTATGTAAAAGTTGCAAACGAATCAGTTACTGAATGTATATTTGTTAGATTGTCTAAAGGGTGACTTTCCAAAAAATATCATACTTAACTGATTATTGTGCATTTTCTCTTAGATATAGTTAAGTGAAATTTGTATTTTCACTACATGCATGAGGTTGGACGAAAACGCTGAGAAAATACAATATCTTTAGAGCATTTTCATAAAAAAATTTGGAAACTTATTGAGTATCATTTAAAGAGATAACATTTAGCATGGAGGTGATTGTAATGATGGTGATTTAGTTAGAAACAGTTACCGCTTTACATACTTGGAGATTGGCACTGATTCTGATGGTTTCAACATAGAATCCTCAAAATGACCTCATCTCTGAGTTTTATACATTACATGATAAATATGGTGTGGTCAAAGTTGGTATTTAGTTACTGATTCACTGTAAGCAGTCGTGAGGAAGCCTTGGATCCATGTGTTATTTTAAATGTTACTCATCACAACACAACTTATCTTCAATTTTGAGGCAACCGATTAATGCTCACCTCGTTACTCACTGTCATATTTAGAAGCCTTGCTGCTGAACTATTTAAATTAAAACCAACCTCCTCTAACACTGATATATCTAGGTTGTGTCCTATACCATTTGTTTGTTCATTCCTTTAGAGCAAATAGTATTTTATCACTTAAGATATAGTATGTTCACCAGTCTAAGTGACTTAACATTACAAGCTAATTGTTTTTAAACATTTAACATCAAAATATGATGTATCATAATGCCAACTTCATTGATCAGCTCTACTTAGCACTACGATCTGGACAGAAATGGCAATGTTCACCACTGCTGAATGATCATAACTAGTGTGAACTCCGTGTTTGAATAGAAAAAGTAACCTTGAACACTAACAGTAAATAATGGTGAAATTTTAATTTACATTTTGTATGTCAAATGTATTTCTTTTTAAATATTGCTGTAATTTTGTTCAAAAAGGTTTTGTACTTTCTTGTTGTTGATGTGTTAAGGTCTGTAAATGATCGGTCTCTTTATGGCATCTTGAAAGGAACACTTTTATATTGCCATTATGATTATGAGTTTTTATCAAAGTTAGTCTGATGCTAAAGTAGTGGAAATCAGGGCATCTTCTTCGTACTATTTAGAACTCATCAGCTTGTTAACTAAGTGTAACTAAATCTTGGTAACCTTTGTTATTTAGTGTTTTTCTTAAACCGGAATTCGTTGTTTTAATCGGAGGTTTTTTTAAAACTCAAATTATGTGAAATAAGTAGAGAGGATATTCGTTTGGATTTTGAAAATAATTCCATTTTACCTCTTCCTCTCTATTCATATTTTATTAATCTGCACTAAATCTTTGCTGATAATGAATTTATCTTACTAATCCACGCTCATAAACACTTGTACTCAAGCACACATACACACAAACCTTTGTTCTTGAAGTTAGTATTCCATTTGCGCTATTTTATGCAATGATTGTTTCAAGTTTCTCTATAAAGACTCTTTACCGAGTCTTGTCAAGTCTTAATGATAAAGCTAATCATTGATGTGCTTATACACAGACACACACAAATTAATTGTATTAGACCAATAGAGCAGATTAAATTCCTTCAACTTCAAGTCAATACTAGTTTAACCTGAAATAAGCGATCTTTATATTTGGATATTCTCAACTTTCGACAGGGTTTGATAAATTTCGAAGAAAAGACTGTGAAGAACTCTCGGAAAAGCGTTGTATTAAATGGAGCTCCAAATCATTTTCAGTCTTTGCTTCATTTTGATGAATTAAAAGTCAGTTAGGCGATTATATTGAGGGACCTGAAGTTCTTGAGCACAATCACTTGAATGTGTACTTCTGAGGAGTCACAAACTCGAGTAGTAGGAGTTGTTGATTGCCAAACGTATCCTGTTGGACTTGCCCGCACATGACCATTGGATGGGTGATAAAGGGTTCCAGATTATAAATTCATCAAAATCAAAATTTTCCCTTCATCATTTATTAGTGTTTTTATAAAGTTCTTATTTTAACATCAGTAGCACTGATTTATTTTGATAGTTGCCACATGACTTTGTTTGTTAGTTTTATATGAAGCATTTTATGCTTTTTTTCAAACCATCGAATGTAATTTTTACATCGAAATTACTATTGATCAAAAGAGAATATAATCAGTCAATTATGATTTTTTGTGTGGTGATTGTTTCTTTCTTCTAACATAAAAACAAATATGTGTTGCTTCTATTAGTCAATTTTAGCTTCTTCTTCACGGTGTTCCATTAGTGTTTGAGTCAGTAATTACTTGATTATCTTTTAACTACCAGGTTGTAGATTCAAATCTAACTTTTACTAGTTCGGCGTAGTTGACGATTAAATATCGTCACTACTATCGTCAGATTAAAAATTGCCCTTCAAAACGAAATAAAATAATCTCATGCAGGTCCTTTGACTATAGATTATTCCTTTCCGTTTTGGACTGTCTCAGTACTACATATTCCTTTTGTATTGTATGTTTTTTTTCCTGCCTAAACATTTTGTTAGTTTAGTCAGTCATACATAAGTTGGAACCAGAAGTATATGTTCAGCGGTCCAAGTTGTCATATATCATATTATGAAATTATGAAGAGTAATAATAATATTATTATTATTAGTAGTAGTAGTATTGCGGTGTATGTTATTTATGTCTGTCGATATAAGTAATATGTAACACCAATCAGAAGTGGAATGCCTAGCAGCAGAAGGTTGAGAAGATCGGATTTAGGAGAACAGGAATAATATCATTGGTGGTGGTTGTGGTAGTAGTAGTGGAAGGGACTAAATAATTTAAAAACAAATAATCCGAAGGAAAACAAAGAGTACATGCCTCTCTCCCATTATGAACTATCGTGAGCCATGTCACCCAATGTCTGCAGTCTCACTGATCGTGGTTATTGCGTTGACTTCAACCAAGTAGTTTGAATCTACTGACTTGGTTCAGACTAACAGTCACCCACTTTTTATAGACTGATATTCCATGTCTTAGTTTGCTCACCGCCTTATTTTGTAACCCACTTGCACACCAGGAAACATCTTTCGTAGATGTAGGCGGAGGTTAGGCCTACCTGTCATGCTTTGCTGATGAGCAACAACTGACATGAAATAATATTAATAATAATAGTCTTATTCGATAAAATATGTTTAATTACGGCTAAAAAGTTCTCAGAGAGAAACGTACAACATTGCAACACCTAAGTTATGGATATACAAAATCTGCAGAAGAAGTTATGAACACTAGTCTAGAAGTAGTATTGTTGTAAAATGATCCAATATCATTTCAAAAGATCACTAAAGAATCAACTAAATATCAACCAGTAGTCTTAAACCAATTGAATAAAATTTTAGAATTAGAAAAACAAAATAAAGACTTAACTTTATTTTATATTTCATAATCGATAGAACAAATATTACAATTTGAAGATTACATCATGATTTATATATATACATAGTTTTATCGATGGATTCTAATTTAAGTGGAGGGTAATCTGTATTGGACATTGAATCTTATTTGTTTTTTCAAAACAAAAAAACAAACAAACAATGATCAACCATATTTTATCACAAAACGGTTTGGTTTAAATTTAATTCTTTATTTTTTTTCTTTGGAAAAATCAAATTCTCATGACAACAACAAAAACAGCGATAGCAACAACAGCAACAACGGCAACAACAGATAAAGCCTTAGAAATAGTAACATTTTGTTTGTTTAAATTAACATTGTAATATCACGTAGGTATTTTTGAATATTTCAAATTTAAATAGTAATAACTTGTTTTAATCCATCGTTGTTGTTGTTTTTTATTTCACTAGAGAATTGTCTATTCATGAACATAAATGAGAAATCAAGATAAATAAAATGTTGTTCGTTTGTTTATTTATGTATATCAGTAATTAAATTTTATGTTATACACATGATTGTATGTAAGTGTGTGTGTATTGTAGAATTTGGTGGATTATCATTATCATGGTTTTATATAAGACAATGT